GGCCCAAGACTGATGATGTTTGAAGTTTCTCTTAAAAATGGAATTTATCACTTTGACCTTCTTTATTAGCATTTCTTTTTCCTGCCAGTTTGCAAGATGGCTATATCCGATTTTTCATGTGTCACTGGAAGGGAATGTCACTACAACAGAGGTGAAATCTGACTAGGGATATCTTTCCTCCTAACTAATTTTGTTTTGACTGAGATACTTTTAAATTAATAGATGATTTTAAAAACAGTTTTAGATATACAGAAAAATTAAGTGGATAGTACAGAGACTTCCTGTGTATTGCTCCCCTCCCTGTCCACAGTTTCTATTATTGATAATTACTATTATTCTTATTAGTTTTGCATTAGTATGGCACATTTGGTACTATTAATGAACAAATATTGATATGATTTTATTAAGTAAAAGTTCATATTCATATTTCTTTAGATTTCCTTTTTCTGTTCCAGAATCTCATCCAGGATTCCACATTTTATTCTCATGTGTCCTTAAGTTCCCTCTGGCTATGACATTTTCTCACACTTTCCTTGTTTTTGGTGATTTTGATTTTTTTTAAAAAATTTTAATTATTTATTTGAGAGAAAAAGCAAGAGACACAACAGGAATGAAGGGGGAGGGGCAGAGGGAGAGGGAGAAGACGACTCCCCACTGAGCAGGGAGTCTGAGGAGATGCAGGGCTTGATCCTAGACCCTTGGGATCATGAAATGAACTGAAGGCAGACACTTAACCAACTGAACCCAGGTGCCCCTGACCTTGATGGTTTTGAGTACTGATAGGGTATGTTGTAGGATATTCTTCTACTGGAATTTGCCTGATTTTTGCCTCATGGTTAGTCAAGGGTTATTGGTTTTTGTGAGGAAAGTACTATTTTCATCAACTCATATCAAGCGTATATGACATCAACATGATTTTTGACTATTGATGTTGATATTGATTATATGGAGGAAGTAGCATTCATCAGGTTTCTTAACTCTAAGGTAATCTCTCCATACTGTATTCTTTGGAAAGAAGTCACTCTGAGCAGCCCCCATGTAATGACGGGAGTTATGCTCCTCCTCTTTTGGAGTAGAATATCTATTAATTTATTTGAAATTCTTTCGCAAGGAAGATTCAGACCAAGATTCTGTTAAGTAGGTGGGTTTATTTGGGTTTCGGGCTATCCCACTAAGCATTTGTGGTTATAATTATGTATATATTTTTTTAGATATGGCAACCTTCTATCCCATAGCTTTGTGTTAATTATTAGCAGCATGTATTTTTATCTAAGATCCTCTTATTTCTTTCTTTGTTTACATCTGCTTCTAGATTATAAACTTTATCAATTCCATGAACTCCAGCAAGTCAAGGACCTTATCTGTCTTATTTTGTTTGTCCTAGCTAGAAAGTGACCTGAGTATATTCAAAAGAAGAAACAAACATCAAACGAGCCTTGGAAATATCAGCACTGAACATTCTCTGAAGCTAAAATTAAGTAAAATAATACAAAAATCTTTGGTGGCTCTAACCAAGAAAAAAGATAAGCCAATCTCCACTGCTGGTACTTCCATGAAAAAAGGAGGGACCCTAAAAACAAAAAAGATTTTTGGTATTCTTTCTTTGTTTTGGAATTTAAATTCCAACAAGATGGTATTATTTTGATTTAGATTCCTTTTTGCTTAGGAAACTTAAATTAATAGATATTTTGGCTGCCACAAAGGAGTACAGCCTTCTCTTATTTAACAAATCAATGTCCAGGAAAAAAAAAAATAATAAAGACTTTGATGTCCAGAAGAGGGACGTCTTCCTGAGGCTCTCTGAAATTTGAGATGTCAAAAGTATTTCTCCTCTACAATTGTTGGGAAAAGGAGCACGTTTATTCTCTAGGGGAACTGAAGCATAATGAAATGCAATCTAAGAACATGCAAACTTATTATCTACCAGGATGGTTGAATGGTTCCAATCAAATGGAGGATAGAAATAGGGGCTTTATATTCGGATTTTGGAAAAATGACTCCACAGCTAGATATAGGCGCCACAGTGCCTGCAAGTACCTGAAATTGTGGCAGTCTGTGGCTTGTTCATAACATAATGAACATATTTTCTCTTTGAAACTTATCGTGGAGGTGAGGAAAAAAGTGCCTCACATTATTCCTGCAGATGGAAGAAAGAGATCTTACTGTGGGTGCTAAGAGAAAGATTGCTGCTTGTCTAAGTAATAGGTTAGTATTGGTTTTTAATTGGCTCTTCAGAAGGCTGCCTTTGTGTCAAAGACTGCTTCAAGTAGGTGAACTCTGTGACTTCAAAAAGTCAAAATTTTTCTTTATGTCTCTCACTTGTAGGAATGGCTAAGAAGTAGAGCTTAGCATCATTAGCAGTAGGAATCCTTTTACGAGAATACTATTTTCCTTATCTCCATGGATTGAAGTCCTAGCACCAGGGAGATGACCTTTTAAAAAATACGAATCGGATGTCAATTGCTATTTTAAATTTATCAACAAGTTTCCGTTGCTGTTAGCTTAAAAATGAAATTCTATAATGTGGTCTATGGGACCCTGAGAGAACTTTGACTGTGTCTAACTTGTTCAGCCTCTCCTTGTGTCCCAGGGACTTTGCACATAATTCTCTGTCTGAAATTCCTCTTCCTTTACCTTCTTTGTCTAGTTATTCTAGGTATCCCTCAGTTCCCAGCCCAAATGTCAAAACCAGTGGAACATGTCATGACCTTCCGAACTTCTTTGTTCAATACTCTCATAATTCCCCAAAGCTTAAACAGTTAATCACAGTTAATATTAACTGTTTCCTCTACTAGATTACTGGGGGCGGAGACCATGTCTGTTTGGCTCACTACTCATTGCCCTGGTACTCAATTGCTATGGACAGGATAATGATTGAATGAATGAATGAACAAATGAACAGAGCTGAGTTATACTTGCTTTTCTTGGGCAACTTTTCTAAATACTTAATATGGCAACAACAAAATTAGTGTGTTCCTTTATTATAACTTACTACAAAAAAGAAAGGCCAGTTTTCACTTTGTTTCATATTGACAATGAGATAGCTCAGTGAAGATTAAGGTGAAGAATGTGGGTTTTATAATCATAGCGACCTAAATTCAAAACCTGTTTCTACCACCTACTGGCTGTGTGATCATGGGAAAAGTACCTAAAATTTTCCTGTGTTCCAGTTTCCTCATCTATAAAATAGGTCAGACCTGGGTTTAAAGCCCTGATCCATCCATTATTAATTGTGCAACTTGGTTCAAGTTAATAATTTCTCTAAGCTTCAGGCTCCGCAACAGGTACAATCATACATGAGGTTAATAATACCTATCTTTCTCTGCCTTAGGGTTATCAGGAGGATTTACCACACACACACACACACACACACACACACAAACACACACACACACTTGCTTATAAACATATGAGTGTTGCTCAATCTGTGTGGAATAAGAAGATAAAAGCAAATTAACACAACAGTGTGACATTATGTTCTACTTATGAGAATACCAAAGATTAAAAAACTGGCCAATGCTTGCTGTTGGTAACAATGTAGTGATAAGTATTCTCATTTCACTGTTGGTGAAATATATTTGAAAGGCATTAAATTTGACCTAGAAATTTCCCTTTCTAGGAATTCATCTTACAGGTACAATCATACATGTTCATAAAAATGGCAAAGTAGCATTGTGCTGGTAAGTTACTGGAAGCAATAAAAAGTTCATCAATAGGACTAGTTTAAAAACTTATGGAACTGATAAAATGAAATATTGTATGGTCATTAAAATGTATTGATAGGGAATTATCTCCAAAATATATTATTTGATGAAACGATCCATGTAAAGAACAATGCAAATTACGTTTTTTTTTTTTGATCACTCTATGCAAGTTTCCAATTATTTAAATGGATAAAAAATACTTCCTCAAGAATTTACTGGGGGGCGCCTGGGTGGCTCAGTCAGTTGAATGGCTGCATTTGGCTCAGGTCATGATCCCAGGGTCCTGGGACCAAACTCAGCATTATTTAAAAAGATTCTTAAAATCTTAAAAAAAAAGAATTTACTGGAAGCCATGTTCGCCTCATAGGGAGAGAAATGGGGGTACCCAGCTTGGGTGAAATGTATTTTTCATTGTCTACACTTTGTTGTCATTGTCTTTAACTGAGTGTGTATATTCCTTTATCAACTCAAAATTTATTTTTTAAAGAAGATTTTGTTTATTTATTTGACAGAGAGAGCAAGGGGAGCAGCAGGCAGAAGATGAGGGAGAAGCAGCTAAACGGGGAGCCTGATGGGGGACTCCATCTCAGGACCCGGGAGATCATGACCTGAGTCAAAATGCAGACGCTGAACTGACTGAGCCACCCAGTGCTCCTAAACGAGGAAGTTCTAGAAGGAGCTCTCCCCTTCCCAGTAATGCTCTCCTTTCTCAGATACTCCGAAGTCTAAGCAATTTGGAAAGGATCTAGCTAGCTATTATTTGAATTTATCCAACCTGAAACAATCAGTTGGCAAATGGATATTTTTCTTCTAAAATCATATTTTACTAAACGTATTTAAGGGCTTGGGATGTTTTCAATCATTCTACTGCAATAGAATAGTTAATTTTAAGAGCTCTGTGAGTTTGATTTGTATTTAAGATTTTTACAATCTATATATAGGTTGGTCTTTAATAACCATTTATACATTGCTTCTTTTTATATAGGTCATGTATTCTCCTGGGAGAGTAACAAGATTAGAAATAACAAATACAGTACAGAATAAATTAAAGTGCTTCAAACTGCATTATATAATTTCAGAAAATTGGCTTCACACTGAAACGTTTAAATAAGAAAACCAAGTGATTTAAGGGGGAGAAAAAAACCCATAGTATATGCATTTTAATTACTATTGTTTAGCATGTTTTTTCCTTGGCAGTGTCGTATCTGTTCACAGGGCTCCAGTAATGCAGCAGCTCACTGGGTCAATATGGATAAAATTATTATTATTTTTCCTTATTTAAAAAAGTTGGCTTCATTTTCCCTGAAGATGAATAGCATTTATTAGTCAAAATGTCAAAGGAGTACCGTAAAAGTAATTGTATTTTTATATATAATTCTCCAAACTCTTGTATACAAAATGTCCTTATTACCCTTAGTGCCATAAATTTGGAGGCTATTATGGGACAGGAGATAGCAAAATGGGGGCCAGTACTTTTCTAATTACTTCAGATAATAAAATGTGGGTCTTGGTTTTCCTCTCCCAACAAAATGAAGGAGTTCAGCTGCTCAGGAGGGTCTATTATTCTGGCTGGTTGTGTTTGTTTCTGTGAAGTTTAGCATCACTCTCCTTGTACTGGGTCCTCAGGCCTTTTTCAGTTTTTCTATTCGTGCATTAAAGGCCTCTTCCTGTATTTGCAGCTTTTCGTTTATCTTGGTCTGTGAAGACAATCATAAAAAAGTGGTTATGATGGAGCTATCTTTTGCTGCACATTGTCTTTGTGGTTTTGACATACTATAGTGCCTAAAGACAGACATTATCCCTCACACACCTTCCTGTTTTGCAGACAGAGCCATGTTTCAGCCTGTAGTGATGTGATAAACTTTATCATATTTCTGTGCACATTCCCGACGTATAGCATGGCTGCTGTGAACAGGAAGTGGTATTTGGACAGCCATTTTTCACATAGCCTTGTGTTGGGAGATAGGATAATTATCTGTATTTTCAGACAGACTTTACCAATAAGCACCGAATCAGAATAACTGCTCTGGGCTCAGTGAGTGCGGCGTCGTGGTTCCCCCACCCCTGTGCCATGATGTTTTTGTCTCCTGTGTAATACCTTCTAAATGAGATCTCAGAAAGCTTCTGTTGTGAAATCACAACACAAATAATCTCACAATTAGAACAGCTCTCATAATTAAGAATATTCATCATACATTATAACTCCTGGAATTATGCCACTTTGTGGTACAGTTTGGGTAGAAAAAAGTACATGATTGCTGACAGGTTTGAGTGTTTGCTGCAGCTGTGATAGCATTTAGCCTCTGGCAGTGATATTCTGTGGGCTGACATTACTACCTGCACAATTCCAGAAATCCTTCCACATTATCTGAACATCAGTAGTCCCGGAAATGTCTTCCCTTTTTCATGACAAATAATAAAATTATGTATCAAGAAGCCAGTGGTGAGTAATGTGGCAAAACTGGTGTTTTGTTTAGGTGATTTAAGAAACGTTTATGACCGTACTAGGAGTAGTTCATACACATAACTATTAATAAGCAATTTGAAGTTTAGAATGTTAACATCTATAACATAATTTGATGTCTTCGGGGTTACTGCATTTTGAGAAACTTCTGTTATTTCAATTTATACAGAATACATTTAAAAAATCAAATATTGTTTTGGGCTACATATAAATTTTCATTCTCCTTTATTTATTTATGAGTGTAACTGTAATAGATAGTTTTGAAGTGTACACCCTGGTTACCTTATCGGATAAGATTTTGTTTCACTTTCATGGTCAGAATCAATATTTCTGAAAAGATCATTGATGTTAACAATTCTGGATCCTTATGTGAGTATCTGTCTTTTTGATTCAAGTTTTTTTTTTCATTGTTATCATTTTTAAAAAAGATTTATTTACTTTTGAAAGAGAGAGAGAGAATGCATGCGTGAGGTGGGGGCAGAGGGAGAGGGAGAGACTCTCAAGCATACTCCCTGCTGAGTGCAGTCCTGACAAGGGGCTCCATCTCAGCACCCTGAGATCATGACCTGACCTGAAATCAAGAGTCAGACACCTAACCGACTGAGTCACCAAGGTGCCCCGATTCAAGTTTTATCAAGCCCTACCTGAGGCTCCGGCCTCTGGTTTCTCATTTTTATCCTTCTTCCTTTCTTGGTGGTTGGGTGAGGAGGCAAGGAAGAATGAACATGGGCCTCCAGATTACAAAGGAACTCTGTCATTTTTCAGAAATCACTAATCCCCTTGGTCATGGTTTTAGTAGAGGTGGAAAGAGCACTGGTTTAGGAGGTGGATTAATTTAGTTATGTAACCTTGGATAAGTCACTTAGCCACCTTGGGTATTAGTTCTTACCTGAAAAATTAAGTAGTTAAAAATTAAGTATGTTAACATTACATGCTAACTTTTAAATTTGTAATTCCAACTCCTAATTTTCTGATATATTCACCAATGTTATATTTCAGTAGTATGGCTTTGTGAAATATTTTTAAAATATGTTACTCCTGCTTCTTTCTGGTGTGCAACGTAATAGACGATATAGGAATTGAAATGGTTTGAAGAAATAATCTTGCCACAATTCCAAAGGATTGAGAAACACTACTCTAACTAAGCAGTTAATTAACTCTTCCCATTTCAATTAATATGTTCTATGTCCACTTATACTTTCATTTCTTTCAACTAAGGACTCCAGCTTCTGTTTTACTGTGTCACCAGTGTTTGCACATTAACCCGGAGACCTCTCTGGTATTTCACTGAAACAAAAATCATTGACACAGGTGTGGGCTTGGGGGAGAAGCCTCGTGAGGATACGGTCCGTGCCAAATAGCATTGTGTGCTGACAAGGGGAGATACATCTCAGATCTCTAGACCATGGTGATCAGTACTTCAGTTCAGGTACAACCTGCAGAGCCTGGATGAAAAGCCTCCTGCTCTGGTCAAGAATGAGGTTGTCATTAGTCTACCACATCTCCATGTTATTCTTCAAATGCTGCTGAGCAGATGATTAGCTATCCCACAACTACTAGCATAGGGAAAGTTTCTGTTGCTTTTAAGGTAAGAATGGAAAACCTATGACCGGGGTGCCTGGGTGGCTCAGTGGGTTAAAGCCTCTGCCTTCAGCTTGGGTCATGATCCCAGGGTCCTGGTATCAAGCCCAACATTGGGCTCTCTGCTCATAGGGGGACTTGCTTCTTCCTCTCTCTCTGCCTGCCTCTCTGCCTACTTGTGATCTCTGTCAAATAAATAAATAAAATCTTAAAATAATAATAATAATAAAAGACCTAATTAAAAAAAGAAAAGGAAACCTATGACCTGGGCTCAGTATCCTCTCACTGACCACTACCTTGAGGTGTTCTCCCATTCAGTTTTTCTAACCTGGAAATTCAAGTTGACCTAAAAATACCTCAAGTCCCAAGATGGCAAACTTCCCTCAAGGTTTTTACATTATTTTGCCCTGTTGCTTGGACAGGGCCAACAGCCAACATTTAATGTAAGAATTTAGTGTTGGTATTCATATTTCTCTGAAACGTAATTCTTTAAATATATTAAAGTTTGTTCCATTGGGTATAATTTTTATTATACAACTCAGGGCCAAAATAATTTCATTTTGAATGTATCCTTAAAATTATAATACCTAAACTATATAAGCTTAAAATGTTTTCTCTATTCAGTATAATTTTAATTAACATCTCAGGGCCAAGATAACTTCATTCTTAATAAATCTCTAGAACTATAAAGTGCGTCAATGGGAAAGTAAGTGGATTAACATAAAAAAATTTAAAGATTCACACTACATTCTCTGAAATTTCTGAATTATAGAAAGTGAAAAATGCCTGAAACCACACTGGAGAAGGAGCTCTAAAAAAACTGGATTCAAAACATGAATTCTCTACTGCCTTTTCCTCCAAAAATTATAATAACAGCATGGCTCTTAAATAAAGGAGAAAAAAAAACTATTGGAAAATTGAAAACATCTTGCAAATATTAATTCATTAAATGTTCCTACAGCCAGTCAGCATGTTCCTACCCTGACCACTGACATGTGGCTACCTTTGAACAGGAATGTTGCAGTTTTAAGAGCGAGCAACATTGGAAGTCAGGGTTTAGAAGGGGAAAATAACCTACCTATCTAAAACAGGGGAAAATTTTTAGGTAGGCAGAGAGTAATTAAACTTGGGACTTGACCAAGACACAAGGGTAAACACTGAAATCATGCCACACCACTGGAGTATTAAAGTCCAAAGTAGTCTGGTTGTGATATTAGAGGTTGTGTGGTTTTTGTGGATAACACTGGGATTTGAACTAGAATCCAGGTCACAGCTCCCATTCGGGGCCTTTCAACAGTTTCTGACCCTGGAAATGCTGGATAAATTATTTAGTCTTTCCATGTCTATCATTTTCCAATTTACTTATCAGGGAACTGCCTGACTCATTCTCATGTAGTTTACCAGGACTGTTGAGAGAAAAGACATAAATGGGTTTGCTATATCTTGAGACATTGTATAAATCCACATCATCAAGCCATTTTATTGGAAAATCGGCAGTAATTTGGCCCAGATTAATGTCCATGAATCCACTTAAAATGGAAAGGATCGTGGCACCTAAAAGATCTGCTCCCATCACCTCTGGTCTAAGTCCTTTCTATGCCTAATTGCATTTAGATGAACCAGCTAATGAACTTCCAGGGCCAGCAAGGTTGGCTTCAGGCCAAAGAGACAATAACACATGCACACAGTAATCATATTCTTTCTGTTATAGAGTAGTGGAATAAGTGTTGCAAACTCTAACAGCTAAAAAAAAATTCAATGAACAGTTAAAAATATACTGCTCACTACATGGAACATGGCCTTGGTAAAGATGTTTTCAATTTTGGGGGCCTGCAAACAATTCTATTACTGTCTAGTAGTTCCTCAGCAATAATTTCAGAGCTGCAGGATGGCAAAGGAGCCCAGGGCCATGATTATACATAAACTATATTTAGATGAAATGTTATCAAATCTAAAAAGGAGATATGTTCTGAACTCAGTTTAATTCAACTGCACTCTGCCCTTCCACACAGTAACCAGTTATTACATTCATGGGATTGTTAACAATAAAGCTTTGTGTAAAACGTGTTCTACCACTATTTCTGGTAAACACTAAACACCCCTTATTAAGCTGAGGACTTTGGCTGATTCTGTTTGTATCGAATCATTAAACGTTCATGTAAATAGTGCATTAACGTTTGATGATTAGACAAGTAACAAGGTATGCTTATACCAAGCCAATCTTTTGCTCTCTCTAAATTAGTTGTTAATATGATGTGCTTTTCATATATCATCTCATATTTCAGATAAAAATTAAATCCCTCCCTGAGATGCATTAATATTTTAACCATGTAGTATGTTGTTCTATTGATTCATGGTCATTTCTACAAGAAATCATAAATCTTCTTAAAATATGCAATTCACTTACTTAACCATTTTGCCTGAAAAATGATGTTAAGTCTTTGTGTTCAGTAAAAGATGGGTTTTTGTTTTGTTTGGACAGGAAAAAAAGATTAAACATAAAGTTAAACTGATTGATCCATGAACTACCGGGATAGCTGTCCCATCCCCATTTCCAGGCAGCCTTTGGTGAACATGGCTTAGCTACTAATGGTACTTAAAAATGAACAAATTACCTGACAGGGAGTTCAAGGATTTTAAGGCCTCTCTTTACAAATTTGGTGAGAAGACTTACCTAAGAATCGTGGTTGAAATTCCATGTTTGTACTCGGTTTACTCTTTCATGAGCCATGTTTACAGTATGACAGGCGTGGAGTCTTTACTGTGTTACTTTTTGGGTTCTGATGATGGGGGATTTTGGAAACTGGCAATACACCCCACCCCTAGGTGCTGTTGGTGAATCTTTTTTGTGATCTTATTGAGTCTCCAATGACTCAACTGTGAATTACATGGAGATGTGAAATTGAAGTCCTCCATGGTAGGTATCACTCTTGCTGGCAGAGTGTGGGTAGTGTTTACAGACATTAAAGCTCAGGCTGGCTAATTAACCAGTAATAATAAAGTAAGTGAGCACACTATCAAGGGTGAGTACCTGAATGCCAATTACAATATCATCTGTGACTTGATCCAACACTGCTTTTATATCCTTGATGGTGAAACCCACTAAAGGATCCTCAGCGGAAGTGTTGGCTTCTGACTGGGATTCCTCAGGGCCTTGTTCTTGATCCAATCCCTGGAATATTAAAAGGAAAGCACACTTAAGTGACTTCTGGAACATTCGTGATTTATATGTGCCCTCAGACCTCTCCTGGGTGCTTTTCTACAAGGAACGATGTCAATCTGGAAGAAGGTTTTGATTGGATGTTATCCTGCATTTCTGTTATTCATGAGCATCAGGACAGATCAAGTCATGGTGCCGCTAATCAGTGCTTACTTTGAGGAAAGTGAAAGTAGAGAGATTAAAATTGCTGAGCCATCCTCAGCTGGCCCACCAGCTAGTCAACCCTAAAAGAAATGTTTATATTGAGCTGGGAAAAATCAGAGGGAAAGACAATGGAAGAGCATTTTTTTTTTCCTCCTGCCCATAGAGAATATAATGCTGAAACAAGGTGAATTAAGAGACAGAAGGAAACCTACCTTCATTTCTGTATCCAGTTTTGGGGGTGTCTCTATGAATGTTGAATAAATATCAAATGAAATTCCTTCTTCTAGAGGATCTGGGAAGAGACCACCCGAAGGCTTGACAACCTCTAACACTTGCTGGAGGGGAAGAAAAGAGCTGTATTATGAAAAAGCCTTTGGTGACTAACCATAATTTCGGCCAATTCATTCATCTCTCTCTATATATTGTAATGAATATATAGTATATAATACATAGCACATATTATATAATATATGTATTATATATTATCTATATAATACATAGCACATATTATATAACATACATCATATATCTATTATCAATTAAATTAATTAAAATTATATAATTTTATATATATACATAATTATGTATAATTAATGTAACATAAAATTTTTACATAAGTATGCATATGTTTATACATAGTTCCAAGTCTATTATTTTTTAAGTGCTATCTCCTCTGAATTCTTGACATCACTGCCCTCTTAGTTCTCTGTTGCTTTTTGTTCTCTGTATCTGATAATTAGCATTTTATTCTTCCCACTGTCTTATTCTCTTTCTATACTATGTGGCTTAGGACTTCATTTTATACTGCCTTGATCTTTAATTGTTTTTTTTTTTTATCTTTAATTGTTTTATGCATCAGTGTCCCCTTCCTGTTTCCTACAAGCTCTCTGTAGGTAGAGACCATGTTTTAGATCCTTTGTATACCTTCTCCAGTCCTGGCAGAGTTTGGGTGCTTGAAATATTTACCAACAGCCTAATGGTGATCAACGTTAATCAGCAGAGTGTGACCATTCTTGGGGGCAATGGCAAAGTGACCACCGAGAACTTGGTGATAAGGACAATAAAGACTGAAGGTTAATGCATAAAGTCAGTACACTATGAATCAGAGAGGAGATCTGCAAAACCAACCAAAAACACAGAGGGCAAGGCAAGACCACCAGGAGCACTTCAGAATTGTGTAGCAAGTGTGCAAAACTGAGGGAGGGCAATGGTTGGTCAAAACTGGAAATGAAGAAATAGGAGTCAAAGAAGTCAACTTAAGTGGTGTCCATCCCACCATGACTTGAAGGTGAGAAAGAGAGGAACGTACTGATGATGGCAAACATCTGAATCATTTAATTAGTTTTGTTAAAATTCTGATTCTGACAAGCAACATTTTGATCATAATTTGACTTCCTATCTCCATTGATCTATAAAGAAGTGCTGAGCTCAGTGCTTTGATCTTCATGCCCTATTAAATTCCTCACTGTACATCAGTACGTTGATGTTCTCGTTTATACAGTGAGCTTGCTTTTGAGGCCTAGAGGTGAAGCTACCCACCATGTGCTGACAAAGTCAAACCATGAACATACATGTTTAAAGACAAAAGTCTGGAAATGCATAAAATCACCAGCTAATTACCATCCTCCAGGACCTGGAAAAACTGGAAATCATCATCCATTCATTTCTAACTTCTCCACAATATTTCTTTTTTTTTAATTATTATTTTTGATTGATTATTTTTATTAACATGTAATGTATTATTTGCCCCAGGGGTACAGGTCTGTGAATCGTCAGGCTTACACACTTCACAGCACTCACCATATCACATACCTTCCCCACTGTCCATAATCCAACCTCTTCTCCACAATATTTCAAGTTAACTTGCATGTTAAACATGTGATGATGTATAACTTACAGGTTGTAATGTTTCATAATGATTGAAACATTATGAATATTAATAATTGAATATTTATAATTTTTTTTATTTAGATAGGTTTGGGAATGTCCTGAAAACTTAAGCTAATGCTTAGTCATCCCAATGTATTTCATACTGAATTCATATTATTAACTTTAGTTCGATTTTATAGGAAGTTGCTGCTTAGTAAATCTAGAGAAAGACTGAAGTATTAGATAGAAGTTAATAGTCAAGGCAATTTGGAAACCAAGAGATTAAATAGTTGACTTAAGGTCAAATCATCAATCATCACCTAGGGCCCAGGCTGGGAGTTAAACCCTGCTGTGCTGACTTCTCAGCCTGTGCAGTTTTCAGTATCTATGTCATCATGTTGCTGTACTTGGAAATTACTGATTATTATTAATCACTTAATCTCTATTCTGTTAGGTGACATCATTCCAGATTATTCTTCTTAAATTGACTAAACATTAATAGAAATATAAAAAATATGGAAGAACAATTTTTTTCTTTCATCATGTTCACAAGTCATCTTTTCCCCTAAATGAGACATGCAAACATTTTCTTCTTCCCACAAAATTATTTGTGTATTTTTTTCATCATGCTTGTTTTTCATCCTCCCACACCTTATATTGCTCTTTATTTTACCAAGCTTGGAAAAGGAAACAGCTAAATATAATTTAGTGTTCTTTGTAACATTATCAGTAAAATAAATAAGCTGCACATGGGAATCCAGAGACAAGGGTGGATGATGAAGCATTTAATGAGTGGTGCACACTCTCACAGAGGGTGAGGAATGGGAATTTGGGGGAAGTGGTGGCGAGTCAGCCATTGGAAAGCAGAGAGCAAGGAACCCAATAGGGTTTGCTGCTTTTACTGTATGCCCAGAGAAAGAAAGCATGAGCAAACCTTCAAGGTAAAATATTTCTTTTATTGAAGCAGAATTTTATTTTGCTGCTTTTGCCAAATCTGTCTTGCAGCTCTGCTTTTCTACACACAGGCTAGGACTTTCTGCGAATTTTTTCTGATCCTCTCATGGAAGTTCTCAGCAGATCACCTCTGTATCCTGGTGGTAACAGATTTCTCCCTCCCCCCTCAAGCCTTTTCTTCCATCGGATCATACACTTAAGTGCAAGAGACACATTTGTGGGCAAGTTTCGTCCCTCACACCTCTGTGGTCCACATTTCTTTACGAGGCTCATCTGAACTACTTGCCAACTACCCAGTTTTCCTGGTCTTTGGCATTGTGTGTGTGTGTGTGTGTGTGTGTGTGTGTATCGGGCACATACTTGGGAACCTGGGCCACTTCCAGCCCTACATTTTTATTTTATTTATTTTTTTTTGGTGGAGTGGAACTCCTGTTTATCTCAAGAACCTCTTTTGCTTGATTTTTATGAATATATCTCATAGCTCATACAGGTATTCATTTGATTTAATTCCTGCACAAAAACTTGTGGTGAGAATTTCTTCAGAGTGTTTTGCATACTATCAGTGAACCAAATCATAGCCACATTTTTCTCTTTCACAAAGAGTTACATTTGGCTTTGTTACTAAGATACTACAAAGGAAAGAAATGCCCCAGTTTTAGATGGGGGTAAATATAAAGTCATCTCATTAATAAGAAGACATACTGTCAAATATATAGTTTGAAATAAACCTAGTGCCAGAAGCATCGTAGTGATTTTCCCCCCATTAAGAAGTCTTTTTAAAAAATAAGTTTAAGGAAAATTAGAATCAATAATTGTGGTGAGAGCAGAGAGCTAGCAAATATGTTTAAATGAAACCGTCTGATGCAATACTTTCTTAAAAAAATACAATTAGGCCTTTGTATTTTTTTTAACAAAACCTCATGTTTTACAACATCACTGGTTCTGTAATAAAATCTATTTAAAACAGAAAGACATGGTCAGCTTTATTAAGTTAGATTTTCTGAAAGAACGTTATAATTTCCTCAAGTCTATGAATAGTTGAGGCAAATTAAATAAAGCTAGTTTTATAACTATTTTTATACATTCCTGTAGCATTGTAATTGTCTCATATTTTTTTCCTCAAAAGTCTAATATGTTACCTCTTAAACCTAGGAAAATAAAAACAGAAAAAGGATCAAGTATGTTTATTAAAAAAACGCTCCTATTTGGTATCCTGATTTAGCAAGCACCCTTTCTTCTTCTCTAAGAGAATAGCACCCATAATCTTCAGAGCAGGAAACAAAGGAAAAGACTTTAAGTGACTTGCCTGAGGCCTAATGCTGAGATTAAAAATCAGGAGTTTCTGATTATACACATACATCCATTTGGCCAAATGATTGGTTTTGCTTGACTTTCAAATACCCCCTAAATATTACTTTGAATGTAAAGCAATAAATGTGTTTCTCTTGCCATTTTTGAATGCTTGCACACAAATGGATATAATAAAAACAATCATGTTGTTCCATGTGAATGCCATTTATATTTTTTCTGATAATGAGCAGACCATTTGAACCAAGGTGAGTACATTAAAAGTTCTAATAAAGAAGAGAATAGATTTCTAAACAGAATAATGGACTGTTAAGTGAACATACAATAAATAACATCTACAGATGTGATCGCTAGAAAATTAGTTTTGCATAACTTACCAATATACATTTCCCCCAGATGTTATCTGTTACATGAAAATTAACTTAAGTTAGCTATATTGTTCATTACGTGCACACTGCATTAGTGTTATTTAAGATGGTCTACAATCTGAGCTTTAGTTGAATTGTGCTATGGTATTTAAAGAATATCAAGTAAATGGCTTTTTGGCATAATTTAATACTTGTAAGTACAAAATTTCATCACTGAAACATTATGTAGGTTTTAAAAAATCCAAGATCTTTACTTTACAAGCCAAATGAAATCACTAGAATACTTTTAAGATTTTACATATTCAATATGAAATGGACATCTATCATGGGAATAAATGATAGGAATTTTGAGTCCTCCTGGAACTAAGTACAGGGTCAGTGTAGGTTTAAAGAGTGCTTATAGGAATTAGAATCTGCTCCAGATTTTATTGTGTCTGAGAAGAATAAAAATTGTATCTGAAAATTGTGTTACTTCATGCTTTCTTTTTCTTTTTTATGTGTTCGTGTTATTGATAATACAAAGTCTGGCTTACTGTTTTTGTTATCCTGTTTTTTTTTTTAATGTTTTTGTTTATTGTTACTTATTTTTTATTTTTCTTTGAAAAAAAGTGTGGGCGGATTTGTGGATAGTGGTTGTACTGATAAAATCTATGATCAAGGTGGCAATTACTAAATTATTAAATCCAATTATTAAAATATTCAAGATATTAAAAATGCCATTGAAATGACAACTCTCCACTGTTTTCAACAGCAGAAAGCAAGATAAATCTGTTAAACCTTTTTGGAGCGATAGAAATACGTACAAAAAACTGGTATGCTTTAAAAAGACATTTGTT